CACCACCTGAGAAGGTGAGAGTGATCTTTGGAAGAAGTACTTCTCAAATAGTGATTTCGTCAAACAAGTCGTTATCTTATTAAGATTAGAGGACTAGCCGAAATATCACCGTGAGAGCTATATCTCGCTTATAGAAAGATGCAAGCAGCTTCCGCGTGAAGGATTTCCCTCTCTCGTTGTTCTTGGGCCGGCCAGTTTTTGGTGGTTTTTTTTTTCAATTGTTAGCTTTTCATCTCTCAATCATGTGTTGTTCGTTGGTTTTGGTTCAGTTTTTTTACTATCTACTTTTTTCTTTTGGTTTTCTTTGTCTCTTCACTATTCCCTTTGCTTTTTACATTTTTGGTCTTTGTCCATTTTTACTGGTTTTTTCTACCTTTTTCTCCGTCCTTTGTTTCTTTTCTTTCCTATTTTCGAATTTTTCTTCCACTTTCTATGTTTCTTCATTGGTTTTCATTTGTTTTTCTTTGCTTCTTTTTGTGTTTTCATTGTTTCCATTCTTTTTGCACTGGTTTTCATCGGTTTTCTTATTTTTTTTTGTTTCTTTGTATTTTTCATTAGTTTTCTCCTTCTTTTTCACACAGAACAACAACGTTTATAATTTTTTAACATTTTTTAAATAGATGAAACATTTTTCTTATACATCTGAAACATTTTTCCTGTACACGTTGAATTTTTTTTAAATACATGATTAAATATTTTTTCTAACATATATTTTGATGTCAATTTTTTTCAATGCACTGTATGTTTTTTCGTACACATCAGGACATTTTATATATACACGTTTCTGAATAGATGATTAACAATTTTGAAAATTAATATTTTTATATCTACTTTTTTCATAAACATTGCAAATTTTGTATAGATCAGCAACATTTTTTAACTACAAGTTTAATATTTTCAATTATATGGTTCACCTTCTTAAGACACATACTTTTTATGTCCACTTTTTCCAAACACATTGTACTTTTTTTGCATACATCAAGAACACTTTTTATATACATGTTTAACCTATTTCAAATATATGGTTAACATTTTTTCATATATATGTTTTGACGTCATTTTTTCATAAATGTTCTACAATTTTCGTATGCATTAGAAACGTTTATCAATACACCTTTCATATTTTCAAATGCCCAATTAACTTTTTTCATTTTTGTGTATAATGCGATTTTTATGACCGACAAATTTAGAGTATTTTGAAATACCAAAAAGTTAGAAAATAAACCATAAAATGAATGCAAAAGTTTGAAAACAGGAAGAAGAAAAAGTTTTGAAGGACTCTGGTCCACATTAAGCCGGCCCATAGTCGCGGTCGCGCTAGGTCGAGACATAGTTGTGCCCATATACTACAGCCAGCGGATCCAAACCTACCCTCGAGTTTAGGGTTTTCGCCTCTGGCGGCGCTCCCATCGCCGTCTAGAGTTTCTGATCCACCGCCGGTCCGCGCAGCTCGTCCTGCTGCTGCCGAGAAGCGGGAGGAGAGGACCGTGTGTTTTTGCCTGACTCGGCTTGCTGTTGACGGGCGAAACCCTAGATGGTGGACGAAGCGGGATTGTCTTCTGCGGGATGGTCTGGGAAGAAGCTGGAGGAGATGTTGCAACACCTGGATCTCCAGGATGATGAGTTGGATGATGTGATTGTGGGGGATGAGAAATCGAAGAAGTTGAAGCATATGCGAGATGGTTGGCGATCGGG